AAAAAAAAAAAAAAAACTGAATAGTTTAGCCTTTCAGACAAAAAAATTGATTCAAAGTTGACAGTTTTTGTTTTTTTTTTTTTTTTTTTTTTTTTCTTCTCCCTCTCTCTTGTTTTTGTATTAAGGTACGGTTAGTACGTGTAAGAGAGGAGAGATACCTTGATAGCAAGTTTTTTTTTTTTTTTTTTTAATTTTTTTTTTTTAAACCTAGGTTAAATTGAAATAGGAAAAAAAAAATAAAAAAATAAAAAAAGCAGGTCAGTATAATATATAACTAACTAATTTAATCTATGAAAAATATTTGCTTATGCATTATCACTTACGGCTAAAAAAAATTTAAAAGTGTTGCAAGGAAAACGCCATTCAATTTTTCCCTATCTCTCTCTCTCTCTCTCTCTCTCTCTCTCTCTTCCCCCCTCTCGTTATTATTATTATTATTATTTAATTAAAAAAGATTCAAAGTCTAACGAGTGGAGAAAAAAATTAATTTTTTTTTAAGAAGACGAATATTATTAATAAATAATTTTTTTTTTTTTTTTTTTTTTTTTTTTCTGTAATGAAACAATTGTATTGTAAGGACGTTGTCAACAAGCATTTTATTAAAAACCCTTAAAATTTTGTAATTTTCTAGTTGTTGGGGTTGTTGTTGTTGTTGTCGTTGTGCGTTGTTGTTTGAAGGCGGGAACCCAAAACTTATTATTTATTTGCTTTAATAAATTTTACTTAGTTAAAATTTAAATTTAAAATTTTTTTGTTTGTTTCGCTTGAGCTTTTTAAACTTTTTTTTTTTTTTTGTTTAATGGACTAAAAAAAATTTAAATTTAATTAAGTATAAGCATCGCGCTAATTAAAATTGCCAATTTAGAAAAAAAGGAAAAAAAAAAAAAAAGTTTTTCCTCTTTGGAAAAAAAATTAGGAAAATTAGGAAAAGTCGTGTCGTAACTTGCAATTACTATTATTATTTGTTGTTTACAGATTAATTAGATTTTGATATTTTCTCTCTCTCTCTCTCTTTTTCTTTCTCTCTCTCTCTCTCTCTTTTTCTTTCTCTCTCTCTCTTTCTTTCTCTCTTTCTCTCTTTCTCTTTCTTTCTCTCTTTCTCTCTCTCTCTTTCTCTCTCTCTCTTTCTCTCTCTCTCTTTCTCTCTGTCTCTAACTCTCTTCCTTTCTCCTCCCTCCTCCCTCTCCCCGTAGGTAAATCGTAAGCAACTTTTTTTAAGTGTGCCTTTACTTACTTTTATTGTGCAGAAAAATGGAAAGTATTTGGTTGGAAAGTGCTTTAGGAGCCATAAAAGTTTTGGCTTTCGTTTACGACATAATAACGTATCCCGTTTACTTGCTCGTCAATCGGCCGTGGGACAAAAAAAGCCTTTCGAATAAAGTAAGAGCGAAACCGATTTCAGTTGAAGAAAAATCAATCACATACAGGTAATTATAATAATAATAATAATAATAATAATAATCGAATTGGAATCCAAAAAATTGTTTTTCGCTTCCCACCCGACGGTGGTTTTTAATTTTTAGTGAAAGAATTAAATTGTAAAAGTAGGGCAAACGCGTACAAACAAACAAACACAAACAAACAGACAGACAGGTTTTTATCAAAAAAAAAAAAAAAAATTTCTTATTTTAATAAAATATAACGTTTTTTAAAAGTATTTTGCTGGCTCGTAGAAAACAAGTTTAAACAAATTAATTGTATATATGAATTTAAAAATAAACTACACACTTATTTATTTATTTATTTTTGTGACCTTAATTTTATTTTATTATTTTATTTTTTATTTTTTTTTCGAGCGAATTAATTATAATAATTATTTGAAATTTATTTTTTTTTTTTTTATGCATACGATCAATTTTTTTTTATGACTTTTTTAGGAATGTGAACGGCCCACAAAAAATGCATCAACTTCTCATAAGAGAAGGAGTTGATACGATGGAAAAAATGTTTCGATTCGTTTCCGTGCGTTATAATAAAAAAAATTGTTTAGGTACTAGGAAAATTTTAGCAGAAGAAGATGAGGTTCAACCCAACGGAAGAATATTTAAAAAGGTATTATTATTATTATTACTGAAATAATAACCTTGATATGGAAAAGATTGAGAAATTTTTTTTTATTAAATTTTTTTCTAGTACGTAATGGGAAATTACGTTTGGCAAAGTTTCCAAGAAGTAGATAAAATGTCAAAATTATTCGGAAGGGGCCTTTATTCCCTCGGACAATTACCCCGACAACCCGTCGTCGTGTTTGCCGAAACGAGAGCAGAATGGATGATAGCCGCTCATGGTTGTTTCAAGCAAAACATACCCGTCGTAACGATATATGCGACACTGGGAGAGGATGCCATAGCGCACGGGATAAACGAAACGGAAGTTTCCGTCGTCATAACGTCGCACGACCTCTTGCACAAATTCCATACGATTTTAGAGAAAACTCCAAAGGTTAAAACGATCATATTCATGGAAGATCAACTCGTGAAAACGGACACGACCGGTTTCGACAACATTGAAATTTTATCATTTTCCGAAGTCGTGAACAAAGGACGATTCGAAGAAAATGGTTCGTGTGTGGAGATTTTGTTTTTTAAGTAAATATTTCCTTGGAATTTTATTTTTTTTTTACCGACAATTTGTTTCCGCCGCAGAGGTAGAGGCACCGCTGCCGAAAGACACGGCCATAATTATGTACACGAGCGGTTCGACGGGAGCGCCCAAGGGAGTACTTTTATCACACGAAAACATGTTGAGCACGCTCAAGGCTTTTTCGGATGCGGTTGAAATTTTTCCAGACGATGTTTTCATGGGTTACTTGCCTTTGGCACACGTTTTCGAATTACTCGCCGAATCCGTGTGTTTGCTATGCGGCGTTCCCATAGGTTATTCCACGCCTTTGACGATGATAGACACTTCTAGTAAAATTAAACGTGGCACGAAAGGAGATGCTTCCGTTCTTCATCCGACGTGCTTGACTTCCGTACCGGTGAGTCCTGGTTGTTGTGTTTTGCGTGTTGTACCGGTCGAGAAATACCCGCGTGATTAAATTCCTTCCCTTTTTTTTTTTTTTTTTTTTTTTTTTTTTATTTTCAGTTAATTTTAGATCGAATTTTCAAAGGGATCAATGAGAAAGTTTGCAAAGGTGGAGTTTTCCGTAAAAAATTATTCAACTTTGCTTACAACTATAAGAAAAAATGGATGAACCGAGGATTCGACACTCCGTTGATTAACAGGATAATATTTGGTCAAACGAGACATTTGATGGGAGGAAAAGTTAGACTCATTTTATCGGGGGGAGCTCCATTGGCTCCGGACACTCACGAATTTATAAAAACATGTTTGTGCGTTCAAGTGTTGCAAGGTTACGGTCTTACAGAGTCTTGTTCTTCGGCGACGGTCATGGATGGTAAGAGTTGATTCTGTTATATTTCCTCGAAAGTTTTTTTTTTTTTGTTCTTCGCATTCAAAAAGTTTTTCCCCTGTAGTTCACGATAGAACAACCGGAAGAGTCGGAGCTCCAGCTATAGGCTGTGATATTAGGCTAGTTGATTGGGAGGAAGGGAATTATCGGGTCAAAGACAAACCTTATCCGCGAGGAGAAATATTAATAGGGGGCACGAACGTTTCCTCGGGTTATTACAAGCTTCCGGAAAAAACGAAGGAGGATTTCTTCGAGGAAAACGGAAGGCAATGGTTTAAAACGGGAGACATTGGCGAAGTTCACCCCGACGGAAGCTTTAAAATAATTGGTAAGAGAAAAAAATTTTTTTTAATTTAAAAAAAAAATTTGTCATTAAAAACAACAACAACAAGAACAAACAAATGAAAAAAAAAAAATTTAAATTTTTAGATAGGAAAAAAGATTTGGTTAAACTTCAAGCGGGCGAATATGTTTCATTGGGTAAAGTGGAAGCAGAATTGAAAACTTGCCCCCTGGTGGAAAATATTTGCATTTACGGTGATTCGAGTAAACATTTCACCGTGGCTTTGGTCGTACCGAATCCGTCACAATTGAGACAACTCGCTGGTAATCCGAACGCGACGTTCGAAGAATTATGTCAAGATGTGAAAATGGAAAAGGCCGTTTTAAACGAATTGGAAAAGCATGCGAAAAAATGTAAGAGTTTGGAAAATTGGGAAAGGAGGTGACTCGCACCTTCATGGTGCCCCCCCCCCCCATTCGGGGCAGTTTTTGTTGAGTTAGTAGTCGTTTGTAAAGGATTTTTTGCGAATTGATTTTCCAGGCAAATTGGAAAAGTTTGAAGTTCCTGCGGCTGTTAAATTATGTGCAGAAGTTTGGTCTCCGGACATGGGACTCGTGACGGCGGCATTTAAATTAAAGCGTAAAGACATACAAGAACGGTATCAACACGAAATCAATAGAATGTACGCGTCGTGATGGCAGTAGGAGGACTTGCTGGCAAGGCCTTGATGTGTGCTCTCCCGTTCCTACCACCACGTTCGTTCGTTCGTTCGTTCGCTCCTTTTCTACAGTATCGAAAACGTTTTGTATTTATTTACAGTCAATGTCCAGTTTTTTTTTTTTTTATTAAAATATTCTTTTCGCTTTTGTGCTTCAGAGTAGTTTAAAAAATGGTTAAAATTCTTCTTTTTTTTTTTTGTTGTTGTGATTGTGCCCATTTTTGAAGCATAGAATCAAAACAAGAGAAGAGAAAAGAAAAGAAAAGAAAAGAGAAAAATTTTTAAATTTTGTCGATGAGAGCATAAATGTAATTTAATAATTATTTTATTATCATTATCATTATTATTATTATTAATATTAATTGATTTGTAAATATTTATTTTTGAAGCGTGAAAGGAATGAATGAATGAGAGTGAATGAGTGAGTGAATGATTGAGTTTATATGTAAGTAAAAATTAAACAGTGATGATTATATGAAATAGATGATTAGGTGTGTAAATTTAAATAATAAATTAAAGGCTCAATTATTTATATATATATATAAATAAATAAATAATAAATTTATCAAAATATGTTTAAAAAAAAAAAATTGAAATGATGATGATGATGGGGAGTCGGGATAATTAATTAATTAAATAAATTATCTCTCGTTGGTGTTTTGTTAATTTAAAAAAATGTCAGAAATGTAATCATAACAAACATTTTATTGTTTTTTTTTTTTTTTTATATTCAAATGTAAAATATAACAAACCTGTACAAAAAAAAAAAGAAAATGAAAAGATAAATGTTATAAATTTAATTTTTTGTTTAATTTTTTTTCTACCGATTACAGTTTTGGTTTAGAAAGAGAGAGAGAGAGAGAGATCATCACGGTTACGGTAAGAATTGAAATAATAATAATAATAATATTTAAAAACGATTATAAAGGATTTATTTAAAAAAAAGGGCAAAAAATAATAATAATAATGAAGAGAGAAAAATTAATAATAATAATAATGTTAAACTTATGTAACGTAATTGTTTTTTTTTTTTTTTTTTTACGTATTAAAATAATAAAAAATTGATTAAAATAAATTGTAATTTAATTGTAATTAAATAATAAGAAAAATTATAATTTAAAAATTGATCAATTTGATATATAAGAAAAAACATGGAAATGAATTGAAATTAAATTTTTAATTTAAATTGAAATTGAAATAAATAAATAAATGGCCTCATAAATATTTTATACGTATTTTTTTTTTTTTAAATTTAAATTTAAAACACGATACTTTATTATTATTATTATTATTATTATAATTATATATATAAAATAAATGTTTTTATTTGTTTTTTTTTAATATATACACACGTATTTGTGCCATTTTTATCGGGAATAAATGATGGATTAAATCAAAGTAAAACTTTTTATAAAAAAATATATTATCAAAGTTTTCTTGTGACACTTTTTTTTTTTCGTTAACGAATTACGATAATACGTAATCACGTGAATAAACCGTTGAAAAAAATTATGAAAGTTAATGACACGTTTTTTAATTACGATTCATTCTTTTCTTTTAGTGAAGGGGAAATGATTATTTAAATGATAATAATAATAAAAATTTTTCAATTCATTAACAAAATGGTCGATTTATTATTATTATTATTATTATTTTTTTTACAGAGAATTAATTCCGTAAGAATTTAATGTGAAAATAATTAACAAGTATTAATAATAATGATAATGATAATAGTTGTAGTAAGAATAAAAACATTTTAAATTGCATATTGTTTCATAATTTTTTTTTCATTTTTTTTTTTTTTGCAGAATTCGTTATGGTGAGGTACATCTTATAATTTCGATTTGACCGTTTCGTCATTTTCCAAACAACATTTCATATTCATAAGAGCTTCGCATAAATTCTTTCTGAATTCGTTCAAATTTGTTTTGTCGCTGTTAAACCAAGCCGTCATTCCAAAATTGATGTTGTTATCTCTAGGATTGTAACAACAGGCGTAACCGTCTTTGACCAAAGGACCGTAAACCATAAAACCGTTACATTTAACCGGAACCTGTACGTATAAAAATTTTTTAATTATTATTATTATTATTTTCAGTTTGCGTGAAATTTTTGGCGACAGTTACGTTGCTTGTCGACAGTTGAAAATAAGTGCTTCGCTGATATGCGACATCGTTAAATAAATTCAAATTTTCCACGCCGTTTATTTTCGCCAAAATTTTCAATCCCAACAAATGGCGGTCGATTCCTTTACCCTCGACGACTTCTTTCGCGTATTTTTTATGAGATGAGAGTGCTTTCAACAGTGCTTCTTTTTTTTCATCTTTCGACGCGTTCGCTTCGGACATTTTTTGACAAAATTTCAAAACGTCTTCCGAACAGGTACGAATTGTATCCGTACGACCGTTAACGAACCTTCTCAGTGATCCCGATTCGTATTGTGCTCCCGGATGTTTGTGTAACCTTTTCCATATTTATTTCAGTTATTAAATTTTTCTAATAATAATAATTATATTTAACGGCCGGGAAAACTTACTCGTGAAAAGCGTATTGTATGGCGACTTGAATGAAACTGTCCGGGCTTACTTTTAACTTTTTAATTTCATTTTTACCAAATTTAAAAAAAGAAAAACTGTTGACGTTAAGAGTCGAGCTGATTCTTTAAAAATAGAAAAACAATAATTATCTTTGTGAAAACTTGAAAAATAATTTCATATTTAAAAAAAGTATTATTTACTTATTGACTGCAACTTTTGCTTTAGTTATTGCTTCTTTTATATTATCATTCAAACAAAATTCTAATTTTTGTGGCAAAGGATAATCTTCTACTTTTTCAAATTTATATTGACTGTTTGAAATTTTCCCCCTGTAAACAAAAAAACAATTATAAATTTGATGAATTATGGCAGCGACAGGGGTGTGATAAAATTTTTTTTTCATTATAGATACTCTTTGAGCAAAACATAATCAGTCAAGACACCGATTGGTCCACCTTCTGCAGGGCTGTGTTCATATGCGACTCCCACACCATCGGAACCACATCCAAAAATAAACTAAAACAATAATATATGGCAGACATGTTTGTTTAAATTCTCATGATGCAGAGCAGGTATGTATTAAATAATTTTGATATTTACTTGAATTGTTTTATCATACCACCTATTCCCAGCATTATATTTACTACCACAACCGTGTAGCAATAATTTACTACATTTTGTATCATATGAGGAATTGTTATTTGGCAGCGGTTTATCCAAACAAACGACAAAAAGTGCTTTCTCAATGTAATTTTCCAATATGTCTTTGTTAATGTCATCTGAAAAAGGTACATTTATGCATAAACTTACAATAATCATTTGCAAAAACTCATTTTCATTTTATTAAACATATATACTTCTTTTTAATTCTTTATAAGCTTCTGCCCAATTATCTCTGTTTTCTGTCGTGAGAACACCGACAGGATATTCCACATCTTCCGAACAGTTATTTTCAACAATGTCAAGTAACATTGTGTAAAATGTGTTTATTGATAGAGGATTCCTAGTGTCATTTTTAAATGCATTGATGCTAAAAAACTTTATAAAATATTCAGCTATAAAAGTTATGCTTTGAACATTTACAATTAGTAAGTAATTTTTCATTAAAATAAGAATATAAAAAAAAAAGTATTTCGATAATAATAATATTAATATTTAAAAATTGATTATTTGTGTGCGACTTACTTGATTATTATAAATAACTAGTATGTTAGTACTCGGATTTTTCGGATCTTGAAATAAAAGTTTATCTTTTGGTAAATCTGGAATTCGACAAGTTCCAAAAATTTTATAATATTGATTCATGCATAAAGGAAATGATCCCAACATGTCCTGTGGCAGTTTCTTTCTTTTAAAATTAAGACATAATATTAAAATTAAATAATGTTTTAGGAAAAAAAAAAAAGCAAGTCATTTTGTAACATTACTAATTTTTTAAATACTTCTCTAATAATATGTTAAAAAGTAATGCTGAATGTATGATCGTAGCTGCATAACAAATTCTTTCATGTTCACTTTGGAAATTTTTAGCTGGCCAAACCAAACCTGGACTCGAATATACTACAACTGGATCTCTGTATTCTAAATATGCAGTATCTAACCACCAATCTGATAACTACAAAATAATGTGCATATTTTCCAATTGTAGACTTCAATTTAATTTAGAATCGAAATCGAAAAGTTTATAAATAAATTGGGAATGATAATTTTGTGTAAGTATGTACATATATATATTTATAAACGTATATACCCAGTTTTCAATATTTTTAGCTCTGAATTCCAACAGAGATTGTAGTACCGTACCAATATTATTAGGTTCGGAAAAATTGTCCACAATTTTTTTTGTATTCGTTAATTCTTCTTCATTGACAAAAGGTTTAACCGACCTTTAAATATATAAATATATAATTTCATTTTATTACTACAAAGTAAAAAAGTCAAAATTTTTTATTTAAGAGATATTAAATAATATCAATTTACTCGATATATTTTTGTAGAGTTTCTTTAAGGGGTTGTACGGGAAATCGCATTATTTCTGTTTTTGTTGGTGGTGTTTCCGTTTTTGATTGACTAAGTACACTTGATGCTGAGCTCATATGTAAAATAATATTTCCATTTAATCTTCGAAAATATGAAGCCAAAAGAAACAAGTCTTTTTTGCTGTTTGAATTTATTATGGAAGTCATTTTGAACATAATTATTAAAAAAATATATAAGAGTTCTTAAAGTTGGATTAAAATTTTTTTTTTTTATTAAAAAACAAATGAACAACTTTCATAACTCTTATAAACAAACCACTGTCAGTTTGATTACATAACTAAATTATTAAAAGTCATAGAGTAATATTTTTTTTTTTTTTGTAGAGTGCGTGTGTGTTGTAAGAAACGCGGGTGAAATTAATTTACAGTGAAATTATAAAGTAACAACAAATTATAAAGTACAAAATAATATTATTGTGTTATGTGTTATTGTTAAAGTGATTGTGTTATTTTTTATTTTGTTTAAAAAAAAAAAGAAGAAGTATTTATCAAAGTGAAATTTTTTTTAGGAATTCCTTTGAAATTTAGGTAAGAAATTTTAACCGTTACATTACTCCATTTTACTCATGGGTTTTATTCGATGCATTATGGCTGACTATTTTTTTCCCAAAAATTTTAAAGAAAACTAACGTTTAAAGGTTTTAATATTTTGCATTTTAATTATAAACATGTGTAAAAACTCAATCAACTTTACGACATTACTCGTTTTCGTGAAAATATTTTTATAATAAATGAGGCCCCTTGAAAAAAATTATGACGTTTATTGACTCTAAGGAGTGGGGGGGAGAGAGAAGGAAAAAAACGCCAAAAAATTTGCAGTTTCACTTAAATATTTTAATTTTTTTTTTATTAAGCAATATGTTTATACAATCAAGTCTTTTTTAAAATGCCTTTTTTTTTTTTACATTATACAATAATTAATATTGTAAAAAACACTGGCATGACATATTTAAATTGTTAATAATTAATTAATTAATGATTAAGCAAGATTTCTGCCCAATATTTCTGAACCCGGTGAATCTGATACGGTGACTTCTCGAAACGATGTTTCCCTTTCTGAACTTTTCGATGGTGGTTTGTAGTGCCTTTCGCAAAATTCAGCTATCCTTTCGCAAGCTTCTCTTATCATATCTTCCGGTGGCGAAATGATTATTCTAACAAAGTTTGGATAATCGAAACACTGTAAAAAAGATATATGTTAAGGCTGTTAGAACCCCCAAAAAAATTACTAGTTTAGCATTGTGTGATAATTTGAATCACCTTTCCAGGAAGGCAAAAAACAGATTCTTCCGTAACCATTAATTCAACAAATTCTAAATCATTTTGTATATCTGGAAAGAAAGCCATATCGATACCGATCTGAAACAAAAGAGAAAAAAATTTACCATCGTAAATGTAAAAACCTTAATAATCATTTTACAATTTTAATTACCATTATGTACATGGCTCCTTGTGGCATTATAGGTTTGAGACCAGGTATTTCAGATAATTTCTTATAAGCAATCGTCGCATTTTTCTAAAAAAAAAAACAAAATAAGGTACAATTTGTTATCATTTTTAAATAGTAAAATTGATAATAATGATGAGAAGTGTGCATCTCAAGTCTTTTATATTACTTGTAAGGTTTTTATCGTATTGTTAAAAAAATCAGGTGGAGTGTATTTTAATATTTCGGTTATTGCTCCTTGAACGATCGTATTGCATCCTAAAGTTCTTTGACTTAATTTCGTTAATCCGGGTTTTATTTCTTTTTCGAAAACTCCATTTCTATCGTGGATCACGATCCATCCAACACGCCAACCGGGTATGAGAAATCTAAAACAAATTTTTTTTCCAATTTATCGTTTAACAAGGAAAGTTTTCTTAGGGGGGGGGAGGGGGAAATTAAAACGAGATATCCTGGGAAAACCAGGATATATTATTATTATCATCGTTTATATTATATACCTTTTGGTTAATCCGCTGCAAGAAAGAATAGGTACGTCCGTTGATAATGAAGCTAATGGGAAAAATTCTTCACCGGAAAAAACCTAAAAAAAATTACAGGTTGTTAGTTTTTGTTTGTCGGTAGGTTTATTTTAAAAAAAAAAATTGAATGGATGGATGTCGCATACTAAATGTTCGTATATTTCATCGGCTATTATTGGTAAACAATGACGTGAAGCAACTTTTAATATTTCTCTTAAATGTCTTTTGCTGAAAACTGATCCACAAGGATTGCTAGGATTATTTATGATTATTGCACGTGTTTTATTGTCAATTTGACTTTCGAGATGTCTTAAATCCACTTCCCATTGATAATCAGGCTAAAAAAAAAAAATATTTTGTACCTTATTTTCCTTTTTTTTGAATATGAAAGGGCATAAAAACTAATAAAAATTTTGGAAAAAAATTACCCTTAAATTATAAGGTTTGACTTTTATACCTAATCCTTCGGCTAATGTTCGGTATAAAGAAAAACCTGGTCTTGGAATAAGAATGTTCTCTCCCGGATTAGCTATTACGGATATACATAAATCTAATGCCGTAGAACATCCGCTACATAAAATAACATCTTTCCAATCGACGGTTACTTTATCAGAAGAGGAATAATCAGCAACAGCCTGTCGTGCTGCTGTAGTTCCAGTACTTGGAGGGTATCCATTACATTTTCCCCAATCGACAGTTTTTTTAACCGAATCAATAATTTTTTTCGGTGGCGTTAAATTTCCAAATATTGTCGGATTTCCTGTAAACGAGTTTTAAATGCGTTTAAATTAAATAAACTTGATTTTCAAAGCTCGGTAAAAAAAAAAAAAAAAAAAAAAAATATTTTTTTTTTTATTCTGCAATTAAACAACAACAACAAAATTTTCACAAAAACCTGTTCGAATAATAATAATAATAATTTTTTTTTTTTTTTTGCATAAAAATTTATTATTTTTGTAATCGATTGCAGTATTATAAAATATCAAACGTGTGCAAATATTTTTTTTTTTTTTTCAATAAATAAAATAAATTTTCATAACAACAAAAAAAAATTTTTTTGTTGATAAAACGTCGCAATATCGATAACGATTATCGAAAGGTCATTCGATATAGTAATTCGATTCGATTTTTTTTCGGGGGGGAATAAATTTTTTTTTTCCCTTAAAAAAAAAAAAAATTTTTTTTTTTTTTTTTTTTTAAATTCCGGGAATTAATTTTTTTTTGAAAAGGTCTTTTTTTAACCTTGAATAACTTTTTAAAAATTTTCCAAAATTTTTGGGTCGCCCTTTGAAAAAAAAAAAAAAAAAAAAAAAAAAATCTTAACAAGGAATTTCATGAGTATCTTTTATTTTAATTTATAAAAAAAAAAAAACAAGTTTGATAGGGAATATTGACGTAATATATAAAGAAGATGATATGCACCTAATATCAAGTTTTCAAAGTTGTTTTTCCAGTCTTCCATTACTGTTTTTTAAAAGTTTTTCGAATTTTAAAAAAAATTGTCTCAATAAAATTTTTATCTGGTGTATATATGATTAAAAATGGTACTTTCCTCCTCCCCTCCCCCCCCCAAGTATTACATAAGGTTGCCTTTCGTTAAAAACTTTATTTTCCATAACTTGATTAATTATTCATTAATTCCCCCCTCCCCTCCCCCCATAATAATAACAGAGCTTATAATAATTTTCTATATAATCAATATTAAAAAAATTTTTTTTGTATTTTAAGTAAAACTGCAAATTTTATATTTGGGAAAAATAATAATAATAATAATAATAACAACAACATCCAAGTTTTTTTAGTATAATTCTCATATTATATATATAAAATTTTATTTACCAAGAAAGCTTTTAAATGTTTACAACAAGATATAAAAAAAAAAAAAAAAAATTGTAAGTCGTATTACTACTACTACTACCCATTCTACCCATTCTGGAAAGTTTTTTTAATAAATAAATAAATAAAAAAACCTGATGTTGTATCCGATGACATGTTTTAACTTGTTATTCAAGTTTAAATAAAAAAAAGAGATGCCATATTGACTTTTTTAAAAACAATTACCAAAGAAGAACTAATAAAAAACAGGAAATATAATAAATAAATATATTATTATTATTATTATTATTATTATTATTATTATTATTATTATTATTATTTGGAATCAAATTTTTGTCGTTCTTATAATTTAATTTAATTTAATTTTTTTTTTTTTTTTTTTTTTTTTTACCTTTTTGAGACTACTATTGTATACTTTAAATATAATTTAATAATAGTTGCTGTGTTGCAAAATTTACATTACGTTTTTTTTTAAATAGTTAATAATAATAATAATAATAATAATGATAAACAAAATAAAAAATAAAAAATTCGTATTTTGCAAAGGTTTGACGTCATTCAAAACGAAACAACTCGATATTATGATATTTACGCGGATTTAATTAATTATTTAAATTGCTCGTTAAAAATAATAATAATAATAATAATAATAATATTAATATTAATAATAATAATAATAATAATAATAAATAACTGATTTCTCCGCCCTTGAATTCGTCGACAATTATAATAAATTTATTTTATTTTCATTAAACTTGGTTCAATGGTTGATGTTGTTGTTGTTGTTGTTGATGATGACGTAGATGATTACAATAAGACCCGCGTCAATTTTTAACCAATGAGATGAGAGGAAAAAAAGTAAAAATTCGCGCATGCGCATTACGACGCAAAAATTAATTTTAAACGTTATTTGCAAAATCAAAATGAAAAGTTTTTCTTTTTTTTTTTTAATTTTTTTTTTAAGTGATTGTAAAAAATAAATTATTGTTATATTTTATACAAAACCTGTAGAAATGATTTCGCTTAATCACGTGACGTAATAATAATGATTATATATAAAAAAAAAAAAATTATATTTTTTACTAAAAAAAAAATGTCAGAAAAAATATCACACAGTACGGAATTAAAAAAAAAAAAGAAGCAGAAGAAAAAAAAATTTTGAACGTGTCACGAGCGAAAGGTAAAAAATTTAAAAAATTTCGTAAAAATACGTTAAATTTAAATCGTTAATTATTAACGTTATTACTTTTTTTAAAAAAAAAAAAAAAAAAATGTATTTTTGTAACTGACCTGTCCAAATAATTAATTATCTTACCTATCGAAAGGGAAATCATTTGTTTATTTGGATTTGGTTCGAGTTGTAAACTTTCAACAATGGCTCTTATGGGATTATGCGTATTTTTAGCAAAATTTGACGCACGCACATCCCATATTTTCTGATCGCACATATCAACCGTCATCCGGGAAAAAAAAATAAAAAATCAAACAATCGAATTTTTTAAAACAAACAAAAACAAAACACAAAAACACAAAAAAATCAAAAAAACTCTTAACGATACCGAGTACCAAACAATCCGAAGATCAAGTTAAAAATATATATATAAAAAATAACGACAATATTTAAATTAAATAGGTTTACATTTGAAATGTGATTTGATTGGACGACCGTTGTTGCCGCTCCCATAAAATGTTGTCTTCTTTAAAAAAAAAAAAAAAAAACTGCTTTAGAGGACATTTTAATAATAAAAACTGGAAAATATATATATATATACATACTCGATTGGATAAATTAACATGGATACAAAATATTTTAAATTATCATCAAGAACCGCCATATTGACACGACACATTATTTTATTTTCTGTGTTTTCCACGGTTATTTTTTTTTTTTTTTGAAATTTCTTTAATAACGTTATAAATTTATTAATTAATAATTTATTAATTAAAAGTGATTGATTGATAATAATTAAACAATAAATTTTTTAATAAATATATATGGATATATATTTAATCTTTTCATTTTTTTTGTGTACAATTACATTTACATAGATTATCATCATCATCATCGCTTAATTAAACGTAATAAATAATTAAGAAAATTATTAAGTATATTAAAAGCAATTTATTTATTTATTTTATTTTATTAAAATATATAAGAAATTTAATAACATTAAAATGTGTAAAATTTACATTGATTACTACGAAAAAAGTAATAATAATAATAATAATAAAATAAATGCAAAAGTTTTACATAATTTTTATCTATTATTTTTTTATTAATTAATTAATTAATATATTTAATAAATGATTTATGTTTAATACATAAATATATACATATCTTGTTTAAAAAAAAACAAAATGGAGGATTTTTATATTTTTTCTATTGGTAAAAATTAAATTAATTAATTCAAATTGTTACGTTTATTATTATTATTATTATAATATTAAAATAATAATTATTATTATTATTTAGCTGCTTAAAAAACAATTAAAAATTTATTTATTTATTTTCTTATTCACATTTTAATGAATTATTATTATTATTATTTTAATAATATTTTCTTTCAATTTTCACAGCCCCTTTTCTATTAAATCATTTCACATTACTTTTAAAATTATCATTATCTCGTTCGTTAATAAAATAAAACCTTTTTCTAAATTTTTTTTTATTACATATCCCAATTCTTTAAAAAACAAAAATATAAGAAAATATTAAAAATATTGACAGAGATACAAAGCAAATTATATATATATAAAGAGAATTCTTTGGTTTTTTTTTTTTACTATATAAATAATTATGATTATTATTATTATTATTATTATTTTATGAAGATATGTATGTGTCGTCACATACATACGGTAAAATACTTGCGATGCAACGTTAAAGTACGATTTAAAATGAAATTCTTATCAAAATTGATAAGGAATGTTAAAAACCTACATTTACATCAATTTTAGGTACACTCAATCATACCTATTTTTTAACACACAAAAAAAAAAAAAAAATTCTTTCGGTAAATAAATATTCCGGGTAAAAAGTACCAAAAAAAAAAAATAATTTAAAAAAATAAACTGAAAATTTTTCATTTCCGTTATCGCAATACCGGAAATAGACTTATCGATAAAATAATAAACCGGAAATAAATAAAATATATCGATTTGACGTAATTATATAGTTTTGTAGCCTTAAAAAATGAATATTTTCATGTTTTTTCGCAAATGACGACTAATTTCTGGTTTCTTTTCTTTTTTTTTTTTTTTTTTTTCAGGTTTTGATGGGGAGATTTTTTGGTTCGGTAACGACCATGGATGTCATCCCGAATTGAGCAATTTAGTAACTTTTAAAATGGAGAGATCGTTTTGATCCAGAGAGTCAGAGAAAGGCTTCAGTTTCGCGCACTTCTTCCTCCTCTGAACTGGCTGAATCCTATCTTAGAGCTCGGTAAGTTTGACCTTTTAATAATCCGTTGTAGTGAGATGCAGAGGGTAACTGAAAAAAAAAAAAAAAATTAATTAATACTCGTGTTATTAGCTCTCGGTTTACAAAAACTCGACCCCCCTAATTAATTACCCTAGCTCCAATTCTAGACAGGTATCTGTTTCTTATGTAAAAATCCGATTGAGGTGATAAAAGATCTTGCGGTGTTACATCTGCCATAGAACCGGATGCTAATAATTTTTCCCTTTCTAAAATTTCTGATCCCCTACAAAAAAACAAACTTAAATAATTAATATCAAATCTATAGAAAATTAGGACAATTTTTTTTTTTTTTATAATACTAACAATTTATTACTCTCGTAAAGATCTCTTTCTTTGACCGACATATTTAAAATTCCATTTCTTAGAGAATCAAAAATCCATATAACGACAATTGCTATTAACGAAACTAAAAAACCAAAAAAAAAAAAAAAATTAATTTTCCAACGTGAAAAAAATTATTAATGGGGAAGGGGGAAGGGGAGAAGAGGGGAAATTACCACAAAGACAAGCCAAAAAGAAAACTTCAAGCATTAGGTATCCTCCAGAATCGACAATTAATCCCGCTACCATAGTTATCAAAGCCAATCCTAAATTTTGAATAGATTGAGTGCTAAAAAAAAAAAAAATTTTCTTTTTTGCATAGATGATTTTCATAAAAAATTGAATATTTTCCAAACATAACTCACATTCCGTAAGCTGTACCCAATTGGTATTCGGGAATGACAAGTGCAACCATGGGCCACAAAGCACTTGCCAACATGGAGTAGGATAATCCTAAAATTATCATTCCAACGTAGGGATTAACAAAAGTAAAAGCTAATAATCCGTGACTGCCTATGGCTCCTAAAATGGCTAAAAATACCCAAAAAACATTTTTCCCCGTTTTATCAACAATGAAACCCATTAGGGGTGATAAAAAAGCTGATATTATGTAAACAATACTGTTAACTTGATTTGCTTCGTTAGGTTGAAAATCGAATTTCCTTTCGAAAAATACCCTGAAAAAAAAAATTAGGCAATAAATATCGGCCATGTTTTTTTTTTTAAAAGGGAAATCAATATTTTTACATACTTTCCCAAAGCGATAAAAGGTAATACGGCGCTATAATAAGAAATACAAACAACTGATATCATCCAAAATGATCCGGGAAAATCTTTCACATCAGTTATTTTAATCAATTCAGTTTCCTGCGTGCTTTTGGGTTTTGAAAATTTTTCATTTCTTTTATCCATCCAAGCTAATATAATGGCGCAGATTAATGACAAGACACAAGTTAATCCAGCTTTGTGAATGAAATTAAATTAATTTTAATATTACATAACATGCATAATGTAGTGTCATTAGAAATAAATCGAGAGAGAGAAAGCAAATAATTTACCTATAAGTAATGTCATTCCAATGCACATATATCCCTGATAATACTTGTTAACCCAATTGTAAAAAGGTTCCATGACTTGAAAATTTACAGTAGAACCAACTCTTGCAAAACTCAATTGTAGTCCGAATACCATATTTAATTCTTTTCCTTTAAACCACATATAAGCATAATTATTTTGTGCTACAGCCAAAGATTCGCTTCCTATTCTATAAAAAAAAATGATGTGACTTAACCCACTTAAAAATTTCAACTTTAAATAATAGGACTTAAATATATATTTACCCGAAAATAAATCTTCCCAATATCATAACCCAAAAAATATTTACTAAACCACCGAGAGCGAATATAAATTGTCCTAAAACTAAAACGGCAGAATAAATGATTGTACCCCATCTTAACCCGAATACTCTGAAACAAAAAAAATGACATGTGAAACATTATGAGGTTAAATAAATATTATCCAAAAATTAATACAAAGAAGTGTATAATGATTAAAAAAGTGTGACAGGGGTTAAAGGTCATCATCATCGTAATATGTAGGTTTTCATACAAAAAAATTACCTATCTAATAAAAAACCACCGACAAAGCATAAGATAACAGTAGGCCAGGAATACCATGAGTATAATAAAACAAATTCCGATGTGGTAAGATCCATGTCACTTTTAAAATTATCTTGTAATGCTCCTGGTATGTCATAACAAAAACAATATCCTAAAAACAATAATAAATAAGGAAAAGGATTTGTCATTTAATAATATCGATTAATAAAGAACAATGTCTAATTAGATAAAATGATTGAAAAAATGGGCGTTACATTTATATATATATATATATATTCTTTCATAAATAAAGAAAAAGTTTCATAAGAAGATGGTTTCATGAAGAAAAAAACATAAAAGGGCATTTATAAAGTTGAAGGCCATAATTAGAAATTAAAAGGTTGGATAAATGTCATTAAAAAAAAAAAACATCTCTCACCAAAACCTATAAAACACATCAAAAATAGAGCAAGAAAACGATACATTGTTGATCTTGGATCACAACATTTTGCAGATTCTTCTTCATCTTCTTCATTTTCATTTGGTCGTATTAAAACATCACAGTCACTTACACTTGCGGAATTACTCATTACTTATAAAATAATAATAATATATATATATGTATATATAAAATAAAAAAAAAAAAAAACCTAAATATCAACTATCAGCTGTACATGAATAAATTTAACTTTAGCAGTATACTGATTTGATATGTCGATGATTTTGCATACCTATAAAATTTATTATTATTATTATTATTACTATTATTATTATTCACAACAATTGAACTTTTTAAATAATATTTTATACGTTTATAATTTTTTAAATTATAATTATAATTTGTTTATAAATTTTTAGAAAACTTTCACGTTTAAATTTTTTTATTTTGTTTAGTTGTCTCAATATAATTATTTTTATAATAAATTTTTAAACGGTATATATTAATATTATAAACTATCATAATTAATTTTGGCGCCATTTTTTTTTTTTTTTTGAAAAATGAAAAGAAATTTAAAGACGATTAAAACGTTAATATTAATATTCTAATGCGTAATTAAGGCATAAATTAAAAATTTGAATTCGTAAAATTAATTTTATTTAGAAATTTATAAGCAAATATTAAAAATGTTTAACTTTTATTTAAAAAAAAAAAAAAAAGTGGCTGCAGAATAAAAAAGTAAAACTGAAACATTCTATGGCAGTTATGTAAACGTTATCGAAGTAGTTAAAGTAACAGTAATTTAATGGTGATATTATTATTCGAAATAAATGTAAAATATGTAAGTTTCTGTTACAGTGTAATGTAGAAATTTCAATAAATAACTGTTTTAATAAAGAAAAATTAAAAAAATGGCATTACGTTGGAGTAGTGAGCTTCATAGTGAAGAACATAAAGATTTGCAGGTAGGAGTACTTCAGGTACAATATTCAAAATCGGTTTATTTTAAAAGAATAAATATATTTAATTAATTTGATTTTAGGCGTCGACTATGGCAATGGATCGTAACGGTGATAACATTCTTTTGGCGGGGTAAAAATTACTTCAACTTACTATTCGTACAGGTTTAAAGAAAATGTTTTTTTCTAATTGCAAACATACCTTGTTTTAGAAAACGTCACATAGCCATTAAAAATCTAAATAGGTTTTCTCAACCTTTAAAAAAATACTCTAAAAATAGTAAATATGATGTGGGTAGAGCCGAGTGGAATCCGACCGCATTGAATGGTCACTTTTGTTCAATTTCAGTAAGGTTGTCTTTTTTTAAAAAAAAATTATTATATTTTATTTCATAGAAAATGTTTATATATATATTGCATTTTGATGATATTTACAGATTAATCAAAAGATTGAAATATTTTCATGGAAAGAAACAGATTTGGATCTTTTTCACGTTTTGAAATTTCACACTAGATTAATTTGCGATTTAAATTGGCATCAATTCGATCCAAATTTACTTGCGAGTGCTTCAGCAGATTCTTTTACTTATGTGTGGGATTTGAGAGATTTAAGGAGACCATGTATATCATTTTCAGCCATTGGTATTTATAAACTATTTTAAATCACATTATTTCTATACAAAAATAAATGAAATTAGCTTATTTAGTTTTCTTCTAAGGCATATTTATCTTTAGGAAAAAGTTTATAAAAATATGAATTTCATAAATTTTAGCTGCTGCAAATCATGTTCGTTGGAATAAGTTAACAGCTTATCTCTTAGCTACAGCTCATGACGGAGATATAAGAATTTGGGATCAAAGGAAAGGTACTGCACCTGTTCAATATTTGTCGCCACATGTAGCAAAAGTAATTAAATAATTTACATTATTAAAATATGTGTCATTAATATAAATTTCATTAACTCACAAATAATTTTTTGTTGAAATTGATTTCAGATTCATGATTTAGACTGGAGTCAAACTCACGAGTTTCAATTAGCTTCATGTAGTCAAGATGGAACTGTTAAATTCTTTGATGTAACCAATCCAAACTGTGCTGAGAGTGTTATTCAAACCGCTTCTCCAGTTTGGAGAGCCAGGTATACTCCATTCGGAGAAGGTCTTGTTACTGTTGTTATCCCGTTATCTCAAAGAGGAGAAAATGGATTATTATTGTGGAATCTCTCCAATCTTTCCATACCGGTTCATACTTTTGTCGGTCACACAGATATCATTTTAGAATTCGAATGGAGAAAAAATAGAAATGAAATATCAGATTATCAACTGGTGACGTGGTCAAAAGATCAAAGTTTAAGAGTTTGGAAAATTGAACCCTTCTTACAAAAACTTTGCGGTTATGATTTGGATAGGGATAGTTTAGGTTTAGCAGAAGAATTAAATTCTGAAGGGAATAACGTTGATATCGGTGAGTTGATTTTATTTTTTTTTGAATTTTATTTATTAAAATATAATTATTACCTGACGATATTTTACAGAACTTTCAAGTCAAGATCCTAAAGAATTTAGCGCGGTCGAAACGATTATACCAGCCGTTGAGGCAATGAACGAAATTTCATTTAGTAATTTTGATTATTTTCAATATCCGGACAAATATTATTTTTCATCATCGAATCCGTCTAAAAGTCTCGAATTGGAATTTTCACTTTTAACAGCGAATTTTACGAATTTACCGAATGTTAAATTTGAAGAAGTGAGTTTTTAAAATGAACCTTTTTAAAGATTCAAAACCATTTTTTTATTTCATTTATAATTGTTTTCCAATTATATTTCTTTTCAGATGAATGTTTTAGACAGGATTTGCATCGTTACCGTTATTGTTAATTCGTACACCGTAACTCTCAAAATAACGTTTCCTTCGAGTTATCCCACCAATGCTGCACCTTCGTTTCAACTTGATGATAGTTCTCCAATGGATGATATGTTGAAGACTAAAATCCTTAGGGTAAAACTTTAAAGAAAAGAAAATGTTGATAAGTTTCTTTTTGATATTAAAAATGGATAATTTGTTACAGCTTTTGAAACAAACAGCTCAACAACGTGTTAAAAAAAATCGAATTTGCCTCGAGAGTTGTTTGAATCAACTCATAACGACTCTGGAACATTCTGTACAAATACAAGAAATCGAAAGTAAATCACCTTCCAGAGTGCCTACCATAGGAAGCGCAGAAGCTCAATTACTTCCTACCAATTCTTTTTTTTACGAAGCAATGCACGACATTCACATTCCTTATCCGAAAACGTGCGGAGCAAGATTTTGCAGCGTCGGTAAGTATTTATTTTTAAATGGATTAAATTAGCAAAAGGAAAAGGAAAGGAAAACTCATTTCGAAAAATTTTTTGCAGATAAATTAGTATGTTTTTACCAATCATCCTTCGCTAGGAAAATGATTACCAGACCCGATACGCCAACACCAAGATCATTTTCTGCCGTTGTTGGAAACGTAACCGTGTCTTCAGTTCCACATTCTATGATTTACATGTTGCAAAATTCCACAGGACAGGACGTGACCGATGGCTCCGTGTCTTGTTTCATACAAGAAAGAGTACGTCCTCCATATTTGTTTTTATTTATTTAAATTTTATTTGATTATAATTGAAATTTTCGTTGCAGAATTTAAACAGACCGAGGACATTGCGTAACGTGAATTTCCCCATCGTGAACGGGTCGCAAATTAAATCTTTGAAAAATGTTACCATATACGATTGTTCGAAGCTTTTTTTTACCAATAAAGAATTGGCAGAAAAATACGTGTAAGTTCTCTACAAGAAATTTTTAAATTAAGGTGGTAAATATTTTGGGATTTGCATATAATCCTTTTGTTGTCGTTGTTTCAGACTCGATTTGCAAAACATAACAAAAATGTGTAACAGGAATGCAGAGGTCGCCGAAGAAATGGGTCGGCCTGATCTTGTACAAGTTTGGATTTTAGTCGGTTTGATCGGTTCATCGATTTCGTTCAAAAACAATTCCGAGGATGACATGCAATGGTTTTACCATCCATTTTTCAAATCGCAAATAGAATACCTGTGAGTTGATATCAGGAAGAAGAACGAACGATCGTCCTTAAGAAAAACGAGTTTAGTGATTTATTTTTTTTGAATTTTCAGAATCATGCACTATGCCAAAATGTCGGACATTCAAACAGCGGCCATGCTTTCGTGCATATTTGCACCGTGTAAACCCGAACAGAAGGATAATAATTTTAATAAAAGTTATAACAAAACAGGAAACGTGACGGTAACGATACCATTGTTTAAGATTTATCAAAACGAGAAATTAGTTTTTTTTTTTTTTTACCTAACATTGTCATAAAGGGATAATCGGTCGCCATATTTAATTTAAATTTACTTTAATATTAAAAAAAAAAAGGAAATTTTTTTTTTTTTTTCCTCGACATTGAGTTGATAAATTATTTCTTTATTATTTATAGCATAAAAATCGTAGGAAGTGGAAACTCAAGGTAATAATAATAATAATAATAATAAATTAATTTAACACGAACGATTAAAAAGCTTATAACACCATCATGGCTTCCTTTTTGTTTTTATTGCATTTGTGTAATGAAAAAAAAGTGTTTAATAACGCTTGCATTAATCGTATCGTATCGTATCGTATCGTTTAATATATGACGTCATTAATGTAAACAATCCATTGTCATAAGTTTGACGAAAAGAAAATAATAGGTTTGTGGTATTTTTTTTTAGCCCGGAGGATCTCCCTACCACACCATTCATCCCATCGATACAACTTCGGATGATTGGACGTGTGGTAGAGTCCAGTCGACGAGACACAACAGATCGAATTCTTGGTCCGATTCTTTGGACGATTTGAAAGCCATCATCATCAACACGTTCGAATGTGCAAACGACAGCACGAGCAACGACAGAAGGTTTGTTTTGTCGAAAGGCGAGATTCTTTTGACGAAGGATTAAAAGGTTGAAATAAATCAAAAAAAATTTTCAGTAAGTTTTTAAACGAGAAAAACGCCGGCATTTACGACGAGTTGAAAAGACATTACGCGGACATATTGCACAGATGGAACCTGTTGGAATCGAGAACGCAAGTCGGAAAATTTTTACAACACCCGAAAGATTCGATAAAATTAATGGAATTTTTAATGGAGTGTCAACAGTGTAAAAAACCCATAACGCGTCCGCCATATTGTTCTTCATGTAAGAAAATCGTTTTGAGGTGTTCGGTTTGCAGGATTTTAGTCAGAGGCACGTTTATTATTATTATTATTATTGTATTAATTGGTAGATTTCGTTTATTTTTAAGGTTTTGTTGTTGTTGTTGATATTTCAGGTTCGTCGAATTTTTGTTTTGCATGCGGTCACGGAGGGCACGCCAAACACATTTTTGCTTGGTTCAGTACGGAAAATTATTGTCCGACGAATTGCGGTTGCAGGTGTGCGTCGGATCATTTAAATTGTTTCGAATGTTAGTAAAATGTAAATAATAGAATTTTCTATTTATTTATTTATTAAAAAATAATTTTTCTGTAAAAACATTATTATTATTATTATTATTATTAATAAATTTAATTTCGAAATCGTAGAAAAATTTTTTATTAAGTATGAAGGAATTAGTTTTTAAAACGGGAGAGATTAAAAAAGGGATTAAGAAGGATTAATAAAATCGTATTAATCTCGTATTTTAAATGTCGAAAAATTTATTTATTTATTTATTAAAAAAAAAACACGTGTTTATTATTATTATTATTATATCTATTTAATCGCAAAATTTTATTTAAAAAAAAAAAAAAAAAAAGAGAAAAAGTAATAATAATAATAATAATAATAATCATGAATTTAAAAGCCAAATTTTTTTTTTTTTACAAAACAATTAATAATAAATTTTTATTTTTTTATTTATAATAAAAATAAAAAAATTTTTTTTTTTGTTATTATTATTATTATTATTTATAAATCTATGTGTAATATTAATATAAATTTTCCTATAGAAATTAAACAAAATAATAATAATAATAATAATAATAATAATAATAATAATACCGGCATATATATATTTGAATGGGTATAAATCGTTTGGCAAATATTAATTTTTTCTTAATTTTTTTAATCTAAAAGAGGTTAATCCTAACAGTTAATACATTTTTGTTTTAATCCTCGCGACAAACATAATAATAATAATAATAATAATAATAATAATGGATTAATTTTAACGTAACATAAAACTATTAAAAAAAAAATTAATTTATTAAGCTTTGATTCTATAGAAAATTTATATATAAATATATAAACCGTATATAAAATTTTTAATATTTGTGCAAAATTTTTTTTTATTAAATTTAATTAAAACATTTTATTTAATTAATCATCATTATTATTATTATCATTAATACTGATGGTTTTATGTAGTATAAAATATATGTGCTGCTCTTTTTTTTTTTTTTTTCGCGATAAATTGCTCATGTAATTGACTGAATTTAAAGCTTATTTATTAATTTTTTTTTTTACCAAGCTTATATTCATTCTATTTATTATTATTATTATTATTTTAAATTGCAAAAAGAAAAAAATTGGTCCATAACTGGTTAATTTAAAAAAAAAAAAATTTTAAAAGTTGTTGATGGTTGTTGTTTGTTGTTGTTATAAATAATCATCACAATCTTGTCGTTCGGTTGTAGCAACTAAAAATATAATATTTAAATAATTTAAATAAGTTAATAATAATAATAATAATAATAATAATAATACACGTGGGATTTGTTGTTGTTGTTGTTACCTTTCTAAAAGTCTCCTTTTAAGTTCCGGCGGATATGTTACATATATATAACGTTCGTTCTGTGCTAAATCTCCCATATCGGGCGAGGGAAAATATTCTTCCGAATAAGGGGATAAAGTTCTTGAATTTATATAATGTGATGGGGTTGTTTTCCCACTCACCCCTTGACTCGAAATGCTTCCATCTTTACCACTGGAAATTAAAAAACTAATTATTAATCATTGATTAATTTAAATAAGGGTTAAATTTTCTCTCTCTCTCTCTCTCTCTCTGTATGTTTTTAATTTGTTGTTTTTGTTTGTTTGTTTGCAGGTACTCACTCGAATAATACCCATATTATATAATACACTAAACATATTCCTAATGAAAGAACCATAATGAAAACAAAAACAAGACCCCATGGAAAGGGACGAATTTCTTCAAATGAATCTTCCCAATAACGTTCGCATGTTAAATACCAGCAGACGGCTTTATTTAATTCTTCTTCGACATCTTTGTATTCTTCCATTGATAAATTGGTTAAAAGTCCCGCAATGCAGTCTTGTACAAGAACCTGGAAATTTTATGGATTTTCTCAAGTAAGTTTTCTTTTTTTTTATTTTTATTTTTACAATTAATTATTTGGCTTACTTCGCATCTTTGTTTTAATTTTAATAATTCTTCCGGTTGGCAATTTGTTTTGAGTTTTTGAAATTCTTGAATTTTTCCTTTTTTATCCGATGGAGGTAGTGCAGAATCGACGAGGTTGTTATTATTATCGCATGTATCTTTTGTATTATTCATATCTCCATCTCCAGTATCTGGAGAATTATTATTCTTATCGCTATCAGACTTTCCTTTTTTTTCCGTAACTTTTGAACATCTCGTATCGGCCGAAGATGATGATGATGATGATGATGATGGCGGCGGCGGCGATGAAAATGTTGTCGATTTGAATTTTTTCCCCTGTGTTTTATCATCTTTTGGCGTTACTCTAACTAATTCCCGTGGACTGGATAATGTCAATGCTGTCTTATAAACTGTTGCTTCTCTCCATATTTCTATATCCGTATTCATTTGACCTTTTCCGTTTAAATGTTTGTTCTTTATTTCCTGAGTTACTAATACTTCACAACGCATTATGTCGCAATAATCTGCCAAACAAACTGCATCTTCAGCCTACGAACAAAACATAATTTTATTTAATTTTTATGTTTTATGTTTTTTCTCATGGTTTTTTTTTTTTTTTTATTACAAACCACATTTATTTGATTTTTATGTATGTTATCGAAATGAAGTTCTAAATATCTTTCTTCGTAGAATGATTTTCCGCAAAACCCGCAACTCCATTGCGAAGAACGAAATTGATGTTTGGCTGCTTGTTGAGGTCCAAATATATCTCTTATGGGATGAAATGGACACTCAACAGGAATTTTCACTTGATATTTTTCTAATATGGGAATCCATTTCTGCACACACACAAGGAATAATATTATTTCAAATTGTCATTTTAAGTTTTTTTTTTTTTTTTTTATTGTAAATGCTTACCCTCTGTATTAATTTCCTTACAACTGAAGCACTATCTCTTGGACATGATATTTTGAAAACTGTTTGTCCAGGCCATGGAATAATTGAAAGTATAACTAAAACTATCACCTGGAAAAGTATGGAATTGTATTTTATATTTTTTTTGATAAAAAAATTATCAGGAATGACAATTTATGTGCCTTTTTGCTTAACGTTAAATTAATTTTACTGGGGATATGTACAATCTATGTGTACTTTTGACTTCATTGAAATAAGTATTGATTTTCTACGAAGCTACGAAATCTGAAAAATTTTCACATTTTTATACAATTGGGAAAATCTAATCGTTTTTTTTTACATATTTAATACTTTTAATATTACGAAACGAGTTGTTTTTTTCCTTTTTTTTTCTCAACTACTCAAATTTTATTAAAGTACATGTAAAAGTACTCATGAAATTTACGTATACGTTTAATTTTTTCGTTATTTTATGTAAAAAAAAAAAATCAAAAGTTAAAACCTACCTCCCACTTTATATATTTGGTCTTCATTCACATTTTTTTCTATATTAATACGTTTTTTTTTAATTTCTTTTATTAAAATCTTTTTTTTTTTTTTTAAAAAAATCAGTTTTTTCAATCCGTCAAAAAAAAATTTTTAAACCTCGGAGCTATTCGAAAACTAGTCAAAATAAAATCTTTATTTCGATTTTTAAAAATTAAAATTTATTTAAAATATGTAAAATTAATTATTTAATTATATAAAAATAAAAAATATATATATTTTATGGAAAATTTTTTTTTAAAAATTAACTTATTTAAAAGTCAAAAAGGGGCGGGAGGGGGAGGGAAATCGTTAACGTTTTTATAAGAATTTTATCGTTTACAGTAGTATTAAGTTTGTCAAATTAAAAATGGCTGCTCACTTTCTTGTTCTTTTAATTAAATATAATAATAGTTCGTATTTAAAAAAAAAAAACTTTTTTAAATAATCGTTAATTTTATAAATATATGTTAAAATGAAAATTTGACTCGAATATATTTTACTACGAAAGTACAATAAAATTTGACATGTCAATTCTCAATTGGCTCTCTGAAAAATAATACTTAACTAATTTTTAATAGAATGAAGTTTGTTGATAATAATTACAGACATGATAATCGACAGTTTATTCAATAGTTATTGTTAAACATTTAACGTGAATAAAAAGTATTTTATTTTATTACAAGTTTTTTTTTAAAAATTTGAATGAAAATATTATTGATTGTATTCATTAAATATTAATAAAAAAAATGAGTGGAATCATTGATCAATGGTCTAATTGTGAAAACACTTATTCTTATGGAATCATGTGTAAAAATTGCATTGCTCGTAAATTTTCCGATGGAGAATCATCGGTCGAATTCGTTAGAATCGGTACTTTTATTAAAGTGTGTTCCATAAATAAAGAAAACGTTTTATTCTACATTGTTAAAAATAATATGCAAATAGAATGTGTGAAATTAATATGTTCAAAAAATGATGTGAAATTTTTATCCGAAAACCTTTTGGATCTTTTATTTCCTGTCGAACAAACTGCAAGGTTACCCCTCGTTATAGACAACAGCATTGCTGAAAGTTTAAGTAATATTTCTTTAGGACATAGAGTTCATGTTTTAGGACCAGACAATAAGAATATTTGCTATGGTATAGTAACTTTTAAAAATTCAATTTTAAGATTAGGACCTGGTATTTATTTCGGTTTAAAACTTGAGGTAATTTTAATTTATAACTTTAAAAGTAATGTTTTAAAATGTGGTCTGAAAAGTTAAATTAAGGAATTTTTCTTTTCAGGTTCCTAAAGAAAATTTATTAGCTTTTACCAGGAAAATATCTTTACTCGAACCAGGTTCAAAAGATTTTCCATATGGATGTGATGTAATTGTAGCAATTAATCAAATTTCTCCTAGTAATATTAAATTTTTAAAGGAAAAAGGACATTATCTAAGTGATAAAGATTGTCAAAATGTGGAAGATTTATTTAGCACAAATTCAATTTATAATTCCAAAGAAATTCATTCGAACAATTTAAAAAAAAACTATTCATTTAATAATGTAGAAGAATCGAATTTAATTTGTTCGAATGTGAAAAAAAATGGAGATTCAAATGGCCAAGTATCAGTGGGAGATAGAGTTGTGTATTTGAATGGAAACACATTTGAAAAAGGTACTATCAAATGGATGGGAAATATTAAAAATTCATTTAAAATTGGAGTAGAATTTGATAATCCTATAGGGAGTGGAACTGTTGATAATATTGAATTATTTAAAACAAAACCTCAACATAACTTAATTCTTCCTCCGACTGCTTTGATAAAATTTTCTGATTACATGACAAACAATACTAATAATGATACTTTTAAATGTAAGAATAATATTATTAACAACAACAACAATAACAATAACAACAATAACAATTATTACAATGGTTCTAAATTGGATGATATTTTTTGCAATAGTAAATTATGTTGCGAAGGAAAACACAAAGTAATAAAATCAAATTCTCATCATTGCTTGAAACATTCTGAAAAATCAAATTTTTTCGATGATTCACCATTGACAAATGATGAATTGATAAATAAAATGTCTTCTGAATCTAAAGTTAAAAATTTCGAAACACATTTCAATCAAAATTCTAAAAGTTTTGATTATTATAAACCTAGTGAGAAAAAATCATTGTATCAAAGGCAGTGTCATTCTGTTGAAAATGATTTAGTCGATGGTAGTCATGAAAAAACACACTACAATACAAAACATATTAACGGTCCAGGTCAAAAAAGAATCGTCAACAATGATTTATTAGATTTAATAGATCCCGACTGGTCGAAACAAGAACAATTACTTAAATTTAGCATTAATGAAAAACCTTTACAGAATACAGATGATACCCTAAATGTTTTGAAATGTTCTTATAGTAAAGGAAATGAAGACTTTTGTAATGGAACTTATCCAAAAGGTAAGATTTATTTTAAACATTTTCTTGAATCATTTCGTTTTAGAACTTTGTTATGTTGTTTGAGTTGATTCTACGAATGGATGATCTCTCATGATTTCATCGTTGTTGGGATTTATCGATAAAAAAAAAAAAAACCAGAGAACTTATTATTAGTACAACTTAGGAAAACTAATACAGTTAAAGTGTACATAAACCCAAACACTATCACAAACTAATGTAAAATAAGACAAAATGGGTTTTTGTGCTTTCATTATCGAGTACCCATGATCAGATTCTGACTATCATCATATCGACTAACTCTGAAATGTTGTCCCACTTGATACAGAAGTTCGAGTGATCACCATTCATGTTTCGATGAAAACTTTATTCAAATTAAATTAATAAGTAATTTATTCATTTCCATTATGTTATTAAGGGAAATATGATGTCATTAAAATAATTGATGAAGTTATGTGAACCCAAAAAAAAAAAAATTTAACCGTTTTTTTTTAAGCTGTGTTAAAACTAAAAATAAGTTAAGGGCCTAGAGAAATAAGCGAGACAGGCACTCAAACTATTTTACACTTTTTTTTTTTTTTTTAGTTTTTCATTTAGTGAAAATACTTACTCATAACTATTTAATTAAAAAATCGTTATAAATCCCTCATTTTTTTTTCGTAATACGTTTTTTTAAAAATAAAAAGTTCTAGAAAGCAGTGACTTATTTTTTTTGGACTAAAGTCGGGGGACTTTAAAAATAGAAATCGAGTTTAAAAAATTTTACATGTTAAATATTTAGAAAATTATTATTATTATTATTATTAATACGCCTCGTAATTTGTATCGTTTTGATATTTTAATTACTAATTTTTTTTTTATTTGTGTGTTTTTTTTTATTCAAACTTGTTTTTTCATGGTTCAAAAAAATTTGTATTCCGTTGAGTTAATTTAATTTCTGAGTGAGATTAAAATAAGGGATTTACAAAACAATGGCTTACTACAAAGGTTTCGATTATTCCTACATTCCCATACCTGTTTTAGAACATAATAAATCATTTAAACAATCTTTGCCTAATCCGTTACCGAATGAAAATTTCAACCATAATATTCCCTTTTTCGAAAAAATAAATAATGATAATATTCTTATTCCCGCTCCTTCGAATCATTCGAAAAACCTTTCAACCGTACCTGTAGTCAAACAATCTAACGATAAATATTCAATGGAGTCTCAGGTTAATAATGAAATTAATTTACAAAATCAAATGGAAAAATTAAAAAATATAAAAAAAGGTTTGTTATCATTATCATTATTATTATTATTTCAATATGGTGGCAGATTTCTTCTTCTTTGTATACTAACTGTTATTTATTAGTCAATCAGATCTTTAAATGTAAGAGAGAAAAAAAAGGAAGCCATCTTTAAAAAGTAACGACTGATTTATTTAAAATTATATATTTTTTTTTTTCTTCAGGAATATGTAATTCAAATTATTCCGAATATTCGAGCAGCAATGAAAGTATTAACAACGCATACGATAATTCAAACGTACCTTGTTCCATTTCATTCGACGACTTAGGTTTAGGTTCGCTCGTCGAAATGACGTACAAGGGAGAGCCGCACTACGGAGTCATAAGGTGGATCGGTACGTTACCCGAACGTGGTCATCCCACGTGTATTTTTGCGGGAGTCGAAATGGAAGAGGAAAATGGGGATTTCACCGATGGAACCTACAACGACAAATTATATTTCGAATGTAATTCGAAAAAAGGTTTATTCGTTCCACTGAGCAAATGCAGAAAGGATTCGAGGTTTTCCGAAGACGTTTGTCAAAATAGGCAAAACGTACCGTCGAAAATTAATTGTAAGAAGAAGAGGAATCATTTTGGGTATAAAGAGATTTCTTTTTACATTTTCTTCCTCTTTTTTTTTTCAGATGGTCAAATAGAATGTCCGATTGTCGAAGGGATCATTCCTCCGATAAATGCAAAAGGGGATTTAAGGTTGATCTGTGGGAAGAATAGAGGGATACAGGGTCATCACAATTCGTGTTATTTGGACGCGACATTATTTTCAATGTTTGCTTTTACTTGGTAAGTGTAACGTCTGCTTAAAATTTACAAAAAAAAATGTCAGTTTAATATTATTATTATTATTATTTTTCAGCGTGTTCGACAGTTTGCTGTACAGGCCGCCAACCAAACACGACGTGAGTCAGTACAGCGAAGTCCAGAAAGTTTTAAGGGATGAAATTGTCAATCCGCTACGTAAAAATTTTTACGTGAGAGCAGATAGAGTCATGAAATTGAGAACTTTACTAGATAAGTTAAGTTCGGTCTCGGGATTAACATCCGAAGAAAAAGGTAACGAACGATCTTATTCGTGGTGGTGGTGGTGGTGGTGGGGGTGGGGGTGGTTTTCTTTTCGAATTCGATCACTGACCTACCTCCCACACAACTCTGTTTGCAGATCCCGAAGAATTTTTAAATTCTCTCCTGGCGCAAATATTAAAAGCTGAACCATTTTTGAAATTGAGTTCGGGTCAAGATGCTTTTCACTATCAGTTGTTTGTAGAAAAAGACGAACGTTTGGTTTTCCCATCCGTTCAACAATTATTCGAACAAAGTTTCGTGACGAGCGACATCAAATTGAAACAAGTTCCTCCCTGTTTGATAATTCAAATGCCCAGGTTTGGAAAATCGTTTAAAATGTATTCGAAAATTTTACCCCCGCAATTGCTCGATGTGACTGACGTCATAGAAAATTGTGAGTTTTTCGCAAGGAATATTTTTAATGGAAAAATCAACATGGAATTAATATATTTTTATTTTATTTTTTTTTTGTTGTTTTAGCTCCGAGACAGTGTACGGTCTGTGGAAAATCCGCACAGTTCGAATGCAAAGATTGTTTCGGTCAAACCGGAATCGGAAACGAATTGGAAAGCATTTCCTTTTGCAAAACGTGTTTGGACACGGCACACGGTCATCATTCACGAATAAGTCACAATTACAAAGCTCTAACGGTTCCTGTTGAATTTTCCGAACTCCAGGAGCACTGCATCATACCGAGACTTTACATGGAATTATTTGCCGTCGTTTGCATCGAAACATCTCATTACGTGGCATTCGTGAAATGCGGAAGCGGATTGGATGCGCCATGGTGTTTTTTCGATTCCATGGCCGATAGAAAAGGCAAGATTAATAATAATAATAATAATAATTGATGACGCATAGCCATCAATCATCGTAGTTTAAAATTTTCTTTATTTTTTTTGTTTTTCTCCCCCCATTTAGGCGAGCAGTACGGATACAACATACCGGAAATCGTACCATGTCCAAATTTACCATATTGGTTATCGGAAGATGGTGGTAAAATGTTGAGCGAAATGAGAGACGAAAGACATTTACCGGAACATGCCAAAAGACTTTTTTCCGATGCTTACATGTGCATGTATCAAAGTCCGGACATGATGATGTATCGATAAACCAAAAAAAAAATTAAAAATTTGATTTACAAACCTGAATGAAAAACGTACCTAGGATATTATTATTATTATTATTTAACGATATATATTTATATATATGTAGAAAAGTATAGAATTATCATAATTAGAATAAGAAAGAAAAGTTGTCTCTTAATTTTTTATTGAATTAATTTGAAAGAGAGGGGGAGAGAGAGAGAGAGAGAGAGAGAGAGAGAGTGTACTTAAACAAAAAATAATCAATTAGTTTTATTATTATTATATAAATGCTTAAATTGAAAATAATTTATAAATAATCTATTGAATTTAGCTTTTCATAAACATAGTTAAAGTGTACTTAAGACTTACATATATTTAAATAACAAATAAAAATTATTATTTATTTAATAAAATTAATAAAAATTAAAGTATTAATTGTTTTTTATCAGTTATGAGTATATATCATGTTTAAAGAAAAAAAATATATATTTGTATAGATGTAAAAATGAAAAGAAAAAGAATATTATTGTAAAATATATATAGATATTTTATAAACCGTATAAGTTTGCACTTATTTTTACATAATAATAATAATATTATACGTCACAAAACTTAAAAGATTTTTCTGTTTTTTTTCTGTGGTTTTTTCTACAAGAATCCTTTTGAAATCATGTTTTAATTATAATATTATATATATATATATTAAAAAATAATTAAAATGAAATCAAGTCTTATATATATTAAAAATAATCACATAAATTTATTTTTATAAAATATATATATTATTAATTAGATCGATTTTGAATTTTTTTTTTTTTTTAAATTAATTTCCTTTTTTTTAAATAAATATATATGCGTATGTTTATTAATATATATATTATTTAATTAATTTTATGTAAATTATATTAAATAAATAAATAAATAAATAGATTTTTCATAAGTAACGGTTTTTTTTTTTTGATTTTTAAGATGCTTATTTTGATTTTGACTTACGTAGTACTTAAATCATTTCAACACTAAATCATATTATTATGGTGACTTTGTCGTAACTGTCGTACTTTTATTTTATTGACTTGTTAAATAAAAAAAATACGTTAAAAAATTTTTAAATTTTATTCTTTTTTTTTTTTTTTTTAATTTTAAATCGTGCGAATAAATAAATTTTATTTAAAAAAAAAAAAAAATGATAAGGATATTATTTACGCGATTTTTAACATAGTCATTTCTAATCAATTAAAATGGCCGTGTAAGTCTATGGACAAGTATGCAAATTATTAGAGACTTCATTTAAATTTTTTTTATTTTATCGGGATTTTTATATTTTAAATTTTTTTATAATAATTATTTTCAATCGCGTAAGTTTTTTTTTTTATTCGGGAAAAATAAAAACGGTTTTTTTATTATTATTATCTTTAAAATGCAAAGTGTTTTAAACACTGTAAAAGGCACTGCCTTAGGAGTTGCTGAATTTTTAACACCGATTTTAAAGGTAAATATTAATAAAATTATTTTTTTTTTCAATTTAACGAAATTATTTTTTTTTTATTATACATCAAATAAATAAATAAAAATTATTTTTTAAATTAAACGGTCGTTGTGAAATTAGTAGTAAATAATTAACCCATATTGAAATATATTTTTTGTCTTCTTAATATAAAAATTTGTTTGACATTAATTGATTTAATTATTATTATTATTATTGTTATTTTAGGAATCAAAATTTCGGGAAACGGGAGTTTTAACACCTGAAGAATTTGTCGCTGCTGGAGATCATTTAGTACATCACTGTCCAACATGGCAATGGGCATCGGGAGATGACACAAAATCAAAACCATACCTTCCTAAAAATAAACAATTTCTTATTACAAGAAATGTGCCATGTAGCAGACGTTGTAAACAAATGGAATACTGTGAAGATAATGAGAAAATTATCGAATCTGATGATGCTGATAACGGTTGGGTTGACACACATCATTACGACACGAGTGTCATCGATGAAAAAGTATCTGAAATGAATATTGAAAGTCAAACAGAAAATACATTAAATTCACCTATCAGAGGAGACATGTCAAATAATTGCAGTGGAGATAAAAATAAAGGAGGTGATAAAAATTGCCATACAAATGAAAATAACAATGATGATGATGAAGATGACGATGATGACGATGATGAAGCATGTGATATGGATGAATTTGAAAAAGAAGGATTTCCAATGGATGATGATGATGAGGTTTGTATTTTTTTGATTTTTCAATAGTAATAAAGGTAAAATTTATCACATTATTAATATTATGTTTATTTTTCAGTGTATAGCAGATGTACAAACTGCAGTAGTAGCAAGTCCTAATTCTACAGAATCGGGAGACATTTTGAAAACGAGAACATATGATCTACATATTACTTATGATAAATATTATCAAACTCCAAGACTTTGGTTGTTTGGTTACGATGAAAATAGAAAGCCATTAACTGTAGATCAAATGTATGAAGATGTTAGTCAAGATCATGCCAAAAAAACCGTCACAATGGAAACTCACCCACACTTACCGGGTCCCCCAATGGCATCGGTACATCCATGCAGGTATTTAAATACATTTTATCTTTTTCTTTTATTTTTCTCCTTTTTCCCCTGTCTACATTTTTTTCAAAACATTATTGCAGGCATGCAGAAGTTATGAAAAAAATTATACAGAGTGTTGTCGAGGGTGGTAGCGAATTAGGAGTTCACATGTATCTAATAATTTTTATTAAATTTGTACAAGCTGTTATTCCGACTATAGAATATGATTACACACAAAATTTTAATCTCACCAAATGAAATTCCCGCGTTTTTTATACGCATACATTAAATCCCTTATTTCTCTTCTTCTTCTTCTTCGTTTAAACACAAGCAATAAAAATTTTTTAATTTTTATTTTATTTTAAATGTAAAGTTTTATTTATATATATATAATAAAAATTAAATTTAATAATATATTACCGACGGATTTCATTTTAATGCTTTGCATTTAAACAAAAAAAAAAAATGTTTTTTTTAAATCGCCTTTACAACAACCAAAAATGATAATAATAATAAATAAAAATTACGCTTAATTTAAAATTTAAAAAAAAAGCTTTTAATATGAATTTATATATATATATTATATTTATAAAAATTTAAATTTTACAATTTTTTTTTTTTTTTTTTTAAATAAAAATTACAATATAAATTATTATTATTATTATTATTATTATTATTATTATATTGTCGATAAAACTGATTCATTAAATTAAATTAAATTACATCATTCGGTTGTTTTTTGTTGTTTAAATACTCACAAAAAGAAAATCTTTCTCTCTCTCTCTCTCTCTCTCTCTCTCGTTAGTTAAATCAAAATAATTAATTATTAACTATTTAATTTTTTAAATAATTAAATTTAAATCGTTTATGCTTAAAATTTTACATAAAAAAAAAAAAAAAAAAAAATTTCACAGTACGATAAGGAATGCGTATTTTAAATTAATTCAAAGCGCGTACGAAAAAAAAAAAAAAATTAATTAATTTACAACTATCTATACATAGAACGATTTATTTATTTATTTATTTTAAATTATGTATATGATGATGCTCATACTGCTACTGCTGCTAAAAAATAATAATAAAATAAAAAATAGAAAAATGACGGAAATTGTAAATCATACACTTGTACATACATAAGATATAATAGGTTTCCCCCCCCCTCGCTCCCCCCCCCCACATCTTATCGATAAATAATAAATACTCGTAAAATAATTTTTGTTTTGGCAAATCGAAAACCATTTTTTTTTTTAAAACGGATTATAAATTTTGATGATTATGTTTTCAAAATGAGAAAAAATATTTAACATTGCTGGGTTGCTAAATATTCGTTAATTTTTTTATACGAATCGATTTCGAATTCGGTAACTAATTCCAACGATTTCCCGCCATCATCTTCGAGTTGTATATTTCCACCGCCTTCGTTTATCATCTGACCGTTATTCAACATGTCTTCCTCCGTTAATACTCGTCCGTTGACTTCTATCTCGCTCTCTTCTAATTCTCTCCTCACTACGTTCTGTAAAAAAAAAAAAAAAAGAGAGAGAGACAAAAATGATAATAATATTATTATTAACATCGGAGAAAAAAAAGGACTTGAGGATAAAAGTGCGACGGACTCACGGGTAATAATATAGATTTTTGAAATTTTGGCTTTGGAAACTCTTCTAAAACGGCTTCTTGTATTTTTTCAACGAGTTCCGCTTCGGATATTTCTTGATTTTTAGGTAACTGTATAAAAACTCTCGGTCCTTCAAGGGTTTTCACTTGTACGACGTGAGAATCCGTGTCCATTGATACGATTTCCACGGCTCTACCATCGGGCATTGCCAAATGAACCGGATTCCCTTCTTCGTCTGTGACTCCCACGTGAGACTGCAAACTCGAATCTGTCGGCTCCATTTTGTAATCTATGGACTGATGAGTGTTAGTAACTCCACTGACGTCTAATATTTCTTTATCAGTCTCGAATCTCATTTCCTGTGTACAAAATTTTGAATTAACGTTCATTTTTTCTTTTTCAGCACATAAACATTTCAATAAGTGATAAAAAAGCATGACGTGAATACCTCGTCGGCTTCGTTCTGGATGTTTTCAACTAAATGCAACGTTTTTCCAGAATTGGCATCTTCGTTTTCTTGGTAAGTAACGTAAATTATTTGTTGTACGTCTTCGGGTTGTTCCGGTTGTGCTATACCATCGATAAGATGCGATTTAATTATACTCCAAACCGTGTTGTCTATTTTAGGTGCGGTTCCGCCATTGTGAACTTTTCGATGCTTGGTCAAATTCGAACAATCAGCAAATTCTTTTCCTACGAGGGGGATGCCCGAAAATATTTATCAGCATTGAAAAGCATCTCAAGGTAAGAAATTTCAAATTTTTTTTTTTTTAAATTTCGAATAACGTACCACAAGTCAAACACTTATAAGGCTTTTCGCCGGTATGTAACCTAACGTGTTTCTTAAGAGACCAATGCTCGGCAAATCCTCTCATGCAAAATGTACATTGAAAAGGTTTTTCCCCAGTGTGACGCCTTTCGTGTGTTTTCCACGTGTCTTTGTGTAGAAAAGATTTGCCACAATGACTACATTTCCAAGGACGATCTCCCGTATGCCTTTTCACGTGAAGTTTATGTTGCGAAGATGTCGTGAAATGTTTTCCACAATATTCGCAACCGTAGGGTTTGGTACCCGAGTGTATTCTCATGTGCTCACGCAAATTTCCATTTTGAGTGAAACGTTTTTGACATATCGGGCACTGAAAGGGTCTGTAACCTTAAAAATAATAATAATAGAATTTTTTTTTTTTTTTTCCCTCATCTTCATGAAATTTCTTGAAAAGTCATTTTCATTCATACTCTACCTTTGTGCCATCTAAGATGTAAAGTTAGGCTAGTTTTGTGAGCAAATTGCTGATTGCATAATTGACAACTGAATTTTTTTTCACCCGTGTGCACTACTTTATGATTAAATAAATTTGATTTTGTTTTAAATCGAATACCACAATCTGGACAAGGAAACGGTCTGAAAACATTTAACGATTAATTGATTTTAAAATCATTGCTATGATATTATTATGGGAGGGGAAAAATGTTTAAATTCTTACCTTGAATCCGAATGTACCATTTGATGTCGTTGTAGCAATTGTTTATGAGTAAAGGATTTGCCACATTTGCTGCAAACAAATCTTCGTCCATCGTTGTGAACGGATTCCTTATGATACATTAACGAACTAGGATGATTAAATGTTCTGTCACACTCGTCACACGAATATAATTTACCACAATTTTCCTTTTTAATTTTTTTCTTTTCTTCCTTCTCCTCATTTTCATTTTTTTCTCCCTGTTCGTTATCCACGTTATACAAAACTTTAAAAGAATCGGAAAACCCACTTTCTTCTAATGACTCCCCTTCAATTTTTTCACCATCTTGCTCTTCAACTTTCACATCGTTTATTTCTCCAGGATGATCATTTGTTATGTGTTTACTTAAAATGAGGTTCGATGAGAAAAATTTATCACAATATTTACAACCTATCCTTTGTTTATTTAATTTTCTCATTTTATAATTTTCCAAATCATTTTCTATTATGTCTGAAAATAGGAATCGATTATTATTAGAAAACATAACCGTATCTTGATACAATAATACTTAATTATTAATAATGTACGTGTACCTTCTCCCTCGTGACCTGTCGTTTTTTGATGCAATTTTAATTTATTTCTACTTGAAAATTTTTTTTGACACAATTCTTGAGAACATAGGAACTTCATTCCCTTGTGAGTAATTCTATAATTACAATATTACAATTAGATATTTTTATTTATAAAAAGTTTTTTAAAAATAAAATAAATTCCACACCTATGCCTTATCCATCTTGTCCTGTCTTTAAACGATTGCCCACAAAAATCGCAAACAAATTTAGTTCTATTTTTTCTTCTGTATTGGCCTCTTCCGACTACAGGAGCAATTATTTGCTCTGCTATATTTCCATCTGGGGTTTCAATATGACCTATGACTTCTAAATAAACAAAAAGAATCTTTTAATTACCACTCAAGTTAAATGTCTAATTTCTATTCGAGAAATTCTTTTAGGGGTAAATTACCTCCGGCTACTTCTTCCCCGACATCACCCTTCAAATCGGTTATGTTTTCAGTTGTATTCGGTTCTTCATCTTCTATTTCATCAGACTCGTTTCCATCTATCGCACCTTCTTCTCTCAAAATCCTATCTAATTCTTTTCCTTGAACAGCTTCCATAAATCTTTGAGGTACTTTTCTCCTTCTGCGTTTTCTACCATTTTCATCATATTCGCTTTCTTCTTCTTGTTCTTTTGCTAAATCGGCATCGGGTGATTCGGACACTTGTTCTGTCTGTTCAGTTTCTGTTTCATTCTTAACTTTTTTAGGTCTACCTCTTTTTCTCTTTGGCTTATCTAATCCCCTAATTTTTAAAGACATTTCATGTTCTTCGCCGAAAAATGTTCCATCTGGCAAAACTACAAAACACAAAAAATTAATTTATTTTTCCAGTTTAGTAAAACCTTTTGAAAATTATTATCATTAGTATGATTCACATTAAAAGTAAATTTCCGCCATCACTCATTTACATTATAATAATTTCTAATTTTAAAAAAATTAATAAATAATTATAAGATGAGTATTATTTGTTTTAATAAACAACACTCACTTTTTATAAAAATGCCACTTTCTGAAACATTTTCATCATTTTCTTCTGTCACGAGGGAAAATTTTGTACTTCCATCGAGCGAATCGATCAAAGTTTGTTTTTCTTTTTCTAATTTTTTTTTCGCATTCAATTCTAACTTCCATAATTCTCGTATTTTTTTCTGTCCCTCCACCAACAAATCAAAAAATTGTATAGTCGATTCCAATTGTATATTACAACCGGGACAAATTGTTCTTGGCAATTTTCCATCATCTTCAATCTGATAAACGGAAAAAAAAACTTGTTCATCCCAAAAAAAAAAAAAAAAAAAATATGAAATTTAAAAAAAAAAAAAACGTATTTGTTTTCCAACAACAAACCAGTAAGCAATATATACACAAACTGATTCCAGTAGTAACGGAATTTCCTGCTACGAAAATCAAACAAAGACCCGAGCCAAAGTCAATTTAATGTCTTAATAATTATTATACAAAAATTATTTCCCTCACCTCGATTGGCAAATATCTATTAATTAATGCTTTAAAATCTAAATCATTTTCATTGTCATATAAATAAATCCCTTCCGTATTCTCTATGCCACACAAACGACATATTATTGAATCATATAACAGTATTCCAGCAAAGTCGGCCATTTTATTTTTTTTTTTTATTATAATAGACTCTAATGCATGCGAGGAGCTAGTTTCGGATAGAATTAGCCTTTTCATAAGTTAAACATAAAAAAAAAGTTTCAAATGCGAAGAAGTATGTATGTATATTTAAAATTAATCATCCGAGTCGTGAACGGTGCTGCCAAACATGTGGTGGCAAATAATTAAGGGATTTCATACATATAAAATCTGCGTGTTTAAATTATTATTATTATTATTAAAAAATAAATTAAATTTCATAACGTTTGTTATTTTACATAATAATAATGATTATTAAAAAGTATTTTTGCATAATTAAAAAAAAAACGCTCCTATTGTTTTTTTTTTTTTTTTTTTTTTGAAAGGAACTCTTGGTAATTGTAATGTAGATTTAGATATAATGCAAAGCCTCCGAGATTCATTTTTTTTTTCTCGCTAAACGTTAGTAGTACGAAGTTTAACGTCATTTCTTTATTTCAAAACATTATTATTATTATTATTATTATTTTGTCAAGATAAAAAAGTTAATTAAATTTTTATTATTATTATTATTATTTATTAACGGTAGAAAATATTAAACTATAGATCCAAAGGTTTAAATTAAAATTTATTTAAAAAAAAAAAAAAAAAAAAAAAGATTCCGGTCGTTTTACATATACGTTAGTTATTTAACGTGTCATTCGTAGTTTTGGCGCCGACTTAAACGGACGCGTTTTTTTTTTTTTTTTTTTTTTTCATTCGGTTTGTTTGTTTTAATTTATAATTTTTTTTTATAAATGCGTTCGTTATTATAGTTTAAAATGGGTGATTATTCTACGAATGTTTTATTAAATCATCAAAATAATTATAAAACTTATTACAAGAATAATAATAATAATAATAATGGTTTAATCGACAGTAAAACGAAAATAAGGAGGAGAAAAATTTACAAGTACGACCCGTTAGTATAATTTTTTTTTTTTAAATTTTATTACTTTTATTACTTTTTTTTTATTACTCTAATAAAAAAAATTTTATTCACCTTGAACGTTAAAACACGCGGACATTTTGTTTTTTATAATAATAATAATATTTATTTATATATTTACAATATAGAAAATTAACCGTCATAATCCGGTTTAAAAACAATACACTCCACATCATTAACGAATTTTTTTTTTTAAAAACGCGTACACACACATTTTGTATTATTATTATTAATATTTTAAATTATTATTTATAATTGTGTAATTGATTATTATTATTATTATTATTATTGATGATGATTATCAAAACGTTAATGTCATAACTATATCATAAATCACGTATTCATAATATAATCGTTACAATTATTATTATTATTATTAATTTTTTAAAATGGAGTCGATCGTGGAATTAGTTAACGACGTGTATTCAACGACCGTTACGAATAAAAATAAATTTTACCACCGTCGGTAATTTATAATAATATAAATGTAATATTTATTACGTGGTGAGGGTGTAAATTATTATTATTATTAACCGCGACTTAAATTGTTTAAACAAAAAAAAAAAAAAACAAAATGTCATCGTAATGATTATAACGAGAGGTATGGGGACGCGGAAGGAGGGACTTAAGGGAGGGGATAGGGGAGGGTAATTATTTTAAATGATGTAATTTTTTTAAAAACATATACAAATAATGAAGTTCAAGGTTTTTTTTTTTAAAGGGTAAAATTGCATAGAACGTAACTATTTATAACCCAAATTTAACTAAAATAAATAAATAAAATAAATAAATAAATAAAAATAAATAAATAAACGAACGGTTACGAAATATTAACGATAAGTTGTTTTTTTTTTTTTATTAGATTCTTCACCTTTCGCATATTTTTATTATTATTATTTTCTTTTTTTTTTTTTGGGATAAATCTAAAGTAGTTTTATTTATTTATTTATTTATTTATTATTATTATTATTATTATTATTATTATTATTATTATTATTTAAACGTTTGAGTGAATTGTCGTTTGTATGTTTTTTTTCTTCTTCTTCTTAATAATAAATCCCATGGGTTTGTTGTGGTTAAAATCGTATAAAGAATACATAATTAATTATTAATAATAAATCGTCATTGTCGTCATGGTGTTTTAACGTACCTCATTGATTTAATTAAAACCAACAAGTCGTGTCAGGTTTATCGATAATAATAATAATAATAATAATAATTTATAGGTATTCTTTATTCATTTTCCGAGAAAAAAAAAAAAAAAAAAAAAAATTTATTTGTTAATGATTTTATTGTTGTTGTTGTTGTTGTTCGTTTCCTGTTTTGTTTTTTTTTTTTTTTATTAAAAATTTAAAAAAAAAATATTATTGATACTTTTACAAATAAATTCTATCTGATAAAAATAATAATAATAATAATAATAATAATAATAAGGTTTGTCCTTTGATCGTAAATTGTGTTATTATTGCAATTAAATCGTTTTTGATAACGTAAACTTTCTTTGATAACAATTGCACACACATAAAAAATATTATTATTATTATTATTATTATTTTCACTCTCTCTCTCTCTCTCTCTCTCTCTCTCTCTCTCTCTCTTTCTCTATCTCTCCTTCTCTCTTTCGTTTAAATCGAACTTTTTTTTTTAATGCGGGTTTAAAAAAATA